GCGATATTTCAGTGTATCGATATTTTCTTACACTCCTAATTTTAACATAAAATCAGCTGCATCTTACTTTCATTCCAGATATCAGAAACTGGTTTATGACTGGACATATTCGTTAATTAAGATATCTTTAACTAGCTATTATAAATATCAGATTTAATTGTATGGAGGCTCAGATTCAAAATGTCTTTAAATCAAGTTTGTCTCGTCAAAAATACAGTTCTAGATATATCTATGAAGTTTTGTCGAGTCATTATTTGCTTCCCTTTTTGTTCTGACGATTCACAATTCCAGTTAAAGATAACTTAAATGTATTTTTTAGATATAAACATTTGACTAATGCAAAATAAATTTCAGATATCTTGAAAACAAATGACTCRGCAAAATTAACTTGAGGATATCTAGAACCTTATTTTTGACTAGTCGCAATTCATTTTAAGGGATCTCCAGATGAATTACACATATTGAATACTTTTTCATCTAGATGTCTTTAAAATATCTTGAATAATTTTTCTGTCTAGTCTAAACAACAGTGGTCTGCAGTGTATAAGCTCAAATCATTTTTAGCTGCAGCTCGACATGAATTAAGAAACTTGGATAATTTATTGTCTGCTGTTGCAGCCGCACAAATTTCTGCAGGCAACTGTTTGGACAGCTCAGTTTGGGCAGCAGCGGGGCTTACGCGCAATTTCTTAATCCACATATCTAAAAATGTCATTTTGACTCATCATAATTGTTTGAGAGATCTTGAATTGTAATTAAAAAAGTGTTACTCTTCAAATGACGTCATTTGAGATATCTAGAAAGGCATTTTGATTTCGTCAAAATGTAATTAAAGATCTCTCTAATTGTTTTACAGTCAGACAGATAGCTGAAATTACCATTCAGGATAGTCAAAATGTAGCTGTTTCTAGTCAAAACTCATTTTTAGGTGTCTATAATTTAATTATAGTCAGACATTGCAGRTTTTATGTTAAAATGGCCTGCCATACATCCACTTACAGCCTTCATTCTCCTCTTCTTTTCACTTTATTCTGCTTAAATGTTTCTCTTTTTGTTTGTTGCTTGTTGCTGAACAGTCGCACTTCATCTCTGCTCTGACGGTGGTTTTTGTCAACTCCAAGTCCCTGTCCTCCCTGAAGATCGATGACACCCCAGTGGACGACCCCTCCCTCAAAGTCCTGGTGGCGAACAACAGCGACACGCTCAAGCTGCTGAAAATGAGCAGCTGCCCTCACGTCTCACCTGCAGGTAGATTATGGATTACAGGAACCTGCTGTCGGCTCTTTAACCTCTTGAGCCGAACAGCTTTTCCTGTTTTCTATTTA